GTCTGAAGACAGTATGTGAAGTAGAAGCGTTCTTGTAGTGTATCATTTTAAATATTAACGAAAAAGCATTAATTATGTAAGCCTCTGGATGCATGCATGTGTGTTTCTGTGTGTGTATATATATAAACTCACACACACACAGATATATATATTTATACGCATACACACACATAGAAAAGCGATTTTTTCCTGTTGGCATTTAAAACCCTTCACTAGGTTATGGTGAACATGGGTGTTTGTGCACTGTGTGTTGCTTTGACCCTGCCAATGACTTTCCTCCTTGAAAACTAGGGCTTTGCTACTTGGGCTCTGCTGCAGCGTCTCTGACTACATTGATTTTGCTCTTAAATTGAAATCAGCCGGGATGTTTGATTGATTAAAAACTAGCCATTAAAGTAAGGAAGAACAACTTAATGTAAGCCTTTGTTAAATATTAGTATTAGTTAAAAGAATTGTGTATCTGTGTGTAAGACTGTATTTTGTCCTTTGGATAGCATCTCTAGTCTTAATTTACATGGGAGACATAACAAATGAACAGATTTTGGCTTATTCTGCCGAAAGCAGATTCCCTACCTCACATTCAATGGCTTGTTTATATGTCTTTTTTTTTTTTCCAAGACTAGGATTTATGTCCATTGCCACATACAATATTTTCAAAAAAATGATACCATGGGCAGCTTTCCATAGGAAATATGTATAGCTAGTTGATAGTCATTTTTATTATCATGTGTCCAAAGAATGATGTTTTGTAATATTTAAACCTTGTAGTTCTGTCATATTATTAATGGCAGTACAGTACAGTACGCCCTATTCTCTCGTCACATCTTCAACAAACAGATTTTGTTTCACTATTCATGATGCTTTGATTCAGAAATGCTGCAGAAGACTCACTTTCTGTCCAGTATCCCTGCAGATGAGTATTTCAGTACAGAACCAGGGCTGAGATCTGCAGTCAAACAATTTGCAGCTTAAATAGTGCCCTGCGAATAAAACATCCTATGTAAATATCAGACATTATTATGGGGAGAACACGTAAACTGGCCTTGATTACCTTAAAAGTACTCCGCCAAATTCAGATCTCTTGCTGTATTGATCTCGGAGCTCCTGCTGTATTGATCCCATCCATTTTAAACCCCCTGGAACTATAGAAGTGTTATAGAAACTAAAATCCAGGTGCTGTAGATGGAGCTAAGACCAGAGTCTGTTTAGCTATGAGAGTAACAGAGGTCTTACCAATACCTAGTATGTAAAGTTATGTATTGCTATTTTTTTTATATGTTATTTCATAGGAAAAAGTGGAAAACATGTTACAGACATTTGATAGACTCTTTAACATAAACTCCGAGAGAAACCTGCAACTGGAACGGGCTCAGTCCCTGGTTAACCAGTTTTGGGAGACTTACGAAGAATTTTGGCCATGGTTAATTGAAACAGAAAAGGTCATCTCTCAGCTTCCTGCCCCTGCCCTTGAATATGAAACTTTAAAGCAACAACAAGAAGAGCAACGGGTAAGAATTTTCCTGTTTTCTAAAAAAATAATGCATCACAAACTACGTAGTCATCTTCGAATTGTGCAGTACTCAGTTGAATGTTTAAAACCTGAGCCATGATACTTCTGTCAAAAAAAAGTTATTTAATGATGCAAAATATGTTTTAAAAATCATCCTATTTGCCAAACTCTGTATGCAGACAAGACTGTCTGGGGAAGACAGCAAACACCATTAAAAACATAAGAGCTTTAGGGAAAAAAAAAGTTTGCGATTGTAGTGAAGTATCTGGTCTTAAGAAAAGTTAATAGCTTAAAAGTATGTTTAAAAGTTTCCTTAAGTGTCAGTGTTAGGGTACACCAGCCTCATAAACAGATAGGAAGGAGACTGGAAGCTGCAGCGAGAAACAAAAAGGGGTAAAGCAGGACAACGGGAGTACCTGCAGTGAGCGTGTTAAAAGTGAAACGTTGCCTGTGTGTACATCTGTGTGCAAGTATGCACATACATTGATATTATAAATGTCAGAAAATTTGGTATTTGATTTGCTGGTATGATAGAAGTTAGACTTTGCTGAGCCAAGAAGAGTAAGGGGGCAATAATTCAATGTTTCAATTCCAGCAAATCCCTTAGCAAATTGTCATGTAAAATATTTTTTAAAATAATTAGAAGAAATATTCACCTTAAAAATCATTAAGTAAGGGCTACAGTTTTGTTAGCTGAGCTCCATGGAGTCTTTCTTACATAGAGGAACAATCAACTGGAATGAAGAAAACCAAAAGTATGTTTCATATGTTCCTTATGTACAGGTATGGCTACCTGTATATAAGGCCCCACCCAAA